TAAAAACTTGTATTCTTCATTAGAAACAGTCTGCAAGGTAGGGGCATCTAGAACATTCATATGTGATTTCTCTCCCCCTCTTCTTTCCAATCCTTAAAAAACACCCAGTTGGCCAGGCTCGGTGGCTCAGCCTGTAATCCCAGCACTTTGCGAGACCCAGGTGAGAGCCTGTGGGTTTGAGACCAGCCTGTGTAACTTGCTGAGACTTCGTCTCTACAATAAATAAAAAAATTAGCCAGGCGTAGTAGGGAGTGCCTGTAGTTACACAGCTCCTTGGAAGGCTGAGGCTGAAGGATTGCTGGAGCCCAGTGGGTCGAGGCTGCGGTGGCCATGAGCGTGCCACTGCACTCCAGTCTGGGTGACAGAGTGAGACTCCAACTAGGGAAAACAAAACAAAAACACCCAGTTAAAATGACCAAAAATGGTCGGACTCGGTGGCTCAGCCTGTAATCCTGGTACTTTGGGAGATCGAGGTGAGTGGACTGCCTGAGCCCGTGGGTTTGAGACCAGCCCAAGCAACTTGGCAAGACCTCAATTCTACAATAAAAAAATTGTTAAAAAGACCAAAAATGAATCATTCTGAAGAAAACCATATCGCTGAGGGAATATGTAGCTTTCATGAGGTATGAAGAAGAAGAAAAGCCACTGATCTGGTCTGGGGAGTGAGGCTGGCTATGGAGCCCAGGAGCTCTCAGACTTTAAGAAAAACTGGCAAACTGTTAAGAAAAGCTCAGAAATGAAAATACCAATATACAAAAAAAGAAAAAGACGCAAGCCTTTGGCAGCAGGGACAGTAAGATGTGACCAAAAAGGCAGCAGAACCCCCAAGATCTTAGCAAAGAATTAGAACGGAGCCGATTTCTGCCATCCTGGAAGGACACATGGAGAAGGGTCCCTGGGCTGACCATCCTGGGCGGGTGCTTTAGTCAGACGAGGGCCACTTTTCGGCCAGGCAACGGCCGTCACCTAGGACATGCGGTACCAGGACAAAGTTCTCATGCTCCTCCTGCCTGATGGTTACCTCACAGGTCAACCCCAGACACGGTGTGGACTACAAAGAGAAGGGAAGCAAGTGAGAGAGTTCCACCACAGAAGCACCTTGTGGGCTTAGCCAAACCCATCATGACATCAAAAGTCCTCCCTCTCTCTCTCCCTCCCTTCCTTCTTCTTTTTTTTTTTTTCGATTCAGGGTCTCACTCTGTTGCCCAGGCTGGAGTGCAGTAGCACAATCATGGCTCACTGCAGTGCCAACTCCTGGGCTCAAAAATCCTCCTGCATCAACCCCCCAAGAAGCTGGGGCTAAAGGCATGTGCCACCACACCCAGCTAATCTTTTTTTATATTTTGTAGAGATCTCGCTATGTTGCCTCTACTGGTCTCCAGTGATCCTGGGCTCAAGCGATCTTCCCACCTCGGCCTCCCAAAGTGCTGGGACTACAGGTATGAGCCACCATGCCTGGCCACATTCTTTATTCCTAAAATATATCATTAAAAAATATGAGACCTAACCACAAAATTTAAAATGTGAAAAAGAGAGGAAACAAGCACCCATGCTGAGTGCCGCCACATTCACTAAGGCAGCTGGCTGTACTGCCATCTACCTCTAAGCACGTTCCCTGTACATATTCTGCTTACAAGGCTTATTCATTTGTTCCCTTAACAAATGTTTCTTGAGGGCTTATTGTGAGCCAAGCATTCTGCTGTGCACCAAGGATGAAATAATCATTTTACGCTGACATCTTTTCTTACCTATTAGAAGACCATAAACTTTTTTCCATTATAAACTGAATCGTGAGCCTCGTTTTTCTAATGCATGAATTCTCCTACACAGGCAGAAAAGCGCGCACACTGCGAGCGCGTCGTGCAAGGAAGTGCCACGAAGTGAACACAACCACGGAGCCACGGCACCCTCAGTCTGCCTGCCTCCTCCTCGGCTCCCTTCGCGCCACAGAGGCGGTGAGACGGCTGCTGGCATCTAGACTGGCTTTGCCAATCTGTGCCCAGCTTTTGCCAAACATTACGCTTGTGAAAAGGCCCATGCTGCTGCATGCCGCCATCGTTTATCTGCACTGCTACACAGCACTCTGTTGTGTGGTGATTACACAAACAAGGTACCCTTCCACCTGTTGGGCTGACCTCACGTGGGTTGTTTCAGTTCAGTTATTAGCCATATTACCTCTAAGAACATTCACAGAAATGCCTTTTGTTGGGGGCAGAGGCAGAAGAAAATCTGTGCAAGCGCCAGCCTGCGCGGTTCAACCTGTGTTGTCAGGGCTCAGCTGCACTGTGTGACAGGCGCCGTGTGACAAATCTTGCCCAGGTCTTGAAAATATCCTCCCGGCTGGGCTCGGTGGCTCAGCCTGTAATCCCGCGCTTTGGGAGGCCAAGGTAAGTGAATGGCCTGAGCCCGTGGGTTCGAGACCCGCCTGGGCAACTTGGCGAGACCTCATCTCTACAAGAAATCAAAAATTAGCAGGGCGTGGTAGCGCGCCTGTAATTCCAGCTACTTGGGAGGCTGAGGTGGAAGGATCGCCCGAGTCCAGCAGGTCGAGGCTGCGGTGGCTGGGAGTGGCCACTGCACTCAGTCTGGGTGACTGAGTGAGACTCCAACTCAAAAAATAAAAAAAATTTAAAAATTTAAAAAAAGAAAATATCCTCCCATGTGATCTTCCAAGAGTTTCATTCTTTTATCTTCCACAGGTAGGTGTATAATCTACTCAAAATTGACTTTTATATGTGGTGTGGAATAAGGGCCAGATTTCTTTTTCCTATATGGATATTTTGTAAAACTCTCTGTGTAGGAAGATGAGTCATGGATACATACATACAAATGCTTGCTTGGGGGAAAATACAGATACGGTGCTTTCTTGGGGGCATTCAACGTATGCTGGCTGCATGAGTGAAGGACCTCGATTTGGAAGTGCTGTTCTCTTCGCATAACCTTCAGAGGACACCACAGGCCCCTGGAGCCTTCTGCTGACAGTCAGCGAGGTCTGCTAACAAGGCCCAAGAGAGCTGGAATCCCAAGAGGGCAGCAGCTGCAGAAGCACGTCCTCTAAGGTTCACTTTTGTCTCAGAAAGACCTGGCCTAAGGGCCACTCTCACGCTAGACGGCCCGGCGGACGAGAGTGAGGATCAGGGGAACAGAAAGGACGAGGAGGCTCCTGGCCATCGTCGCCTCTACACTGGGTTTCAAGGGAAAGGGGGAAAGGAACTGCAGAGACTTGTCCATGACCTGGTCCAAGGAGGCTTTCAGGGCAGAGGCCCTGCCGGGTGGAAGAGGACGCTTGAGCTGGAACTTCTCATCCCATGTGATCCTAAAATGAATGTGGGCGAGCAGCCAGGCACAAGCAGAAACCCAGGCTCCCTTTACAGACTGAAGGACAAATCTTAGCTATCTTAGTTTCATCTGTCTGTTCACAGGAAAGCAAGCTGAGGACCAGCAAGATGTAGCACACGCAAGTTCCTGCTCCAGGGACCCCTGGCTGCACGAAGAATCAGAACATGGAGTAGCTTGAGCAACGGTCATGATGACCCCTCCCTCTGGGGCGAACCGAGCTCTGCTGCGGTTCTCACAGGGTTGGGAGGGGTTCCTCATGCAGTTACAGCCAGTGTGGGGCTAGGCCGGGAGGACCAGGAGGCTTTTCCAGTCACGTTGGGTAGCTGGGGCTGCAGCTGCATCACTGTGCATGACCCCTCCGGTGGCCTGGCCTTTCTCCCACAATGGTGACTGGGTTCCAAGAGCAAGTGTCCCCAAAGGCACCGGGCAGAAGCGGCATCACCGTTCTGATCCAACCTCTTAAGTCACCCGGCACCACCTAAGCTGCAGTCACAGGCCCACCCAAATTCAAGGATACAGACTGCCCTCTCCACGGAGGAGGAGCTGCCCATGCTGTAAGACGGGCATGTGGAGGCCCTGCGGAGACCACGCTGGACACGGACTTGGCCACCGACGCCCCCCCGCATGATTCCATGGCTTCTACTGTCAACCCCTCACACAGCACTTAGCACGGGGCAGAATGGTCTGCCCGTTTATGGCCCATCTCTTCCATACAGTGTGAGTGTCTTTCAAGAAGTAATTGGATCATTAGACTATTATTTGTATTCCTGGCACTTAGCAGATGCTCAAAAAAAAATTTGCTGGAACAATGAACAAACAAATAAAATTCAGATTTAAAGTCAAATATTTTTAAATGTTTCGTAAGTATCTATAAAAGCTTCTCATCTAAATCTCTTAAACTGGGTAAATTTTAAACACTGTCAGCTTTTAAAACTGCTCTAACTTTTACATTTCAGTAATAACGTACCCTCACATTTGATTAACATATTTTTAACTAAATAACAGGGTTGCTGCTAACTCAGACATATCTAGCAGCTTAAAATTCATCAGCAACACAAAATGCTCATCTTAATATTTATTCAGAATAACTTGTGGATTTTTTTCCCCTAAAAATGGGTGGGATATTTTATGACAAGCACCCTTAAAAGGCAATGTCTGTTTAACGCAGCTGTTGCTAAATATGCCAAATGAAACAGTTTAAAACCATTCCAAGGACTTAGTGTATTCAAGTGCAAACATACAATTTAGAAGTATTTTTATTCATAAATTATACCTTTTTTGTATCATGTTATTGGATATAGCCATTACAAACATAAATTATCACTGTATAATCAACTTATTTTTTTTCTTGTCAGCAAATATAGTCAAGATGAAGTAATATTATATAAACTCAAAACCTGAAAATTCGTTGAGCTCCTCCCTGGCCTGAATAATGCATGCGCATGGACATGGACATACACACACACTCAACACACCGAAGCGGTTGTTTTAGGAACACCTGGCCTTGCAGTCTACCACGTGTCGCCGGTTCTCTACTGCCCTTCATCTGTGGAGCCTCTCCGGAACTCTGTTTTTATCGCCTCCCTGCTAAATATGCCAAATGAAACATCTCACGGCCTGAGAATCTCTGCGGACAAGGACCACGCTCCCGCAACACTTACCGATCAGCACCTGCCCGCTCTTCATGGCAGAGCCTCCTGGCAGCAGGCCGTGGACAACAAGCCTCTCCCCATCGCCCTGCTTGCCGGCTCTTCTCCAGCTCCACTTGGTCTGATGGATGATCCCAACCAGGACTTCCAGGAGCCTGAGCTGCTCCTTGGCTTTGAAGACTGTTAGCTTCTTGGGGTTCACGTACACAGTCACGTCTTTGTACTGCTGCTGCACGATGATGCCTGTCTTCTGGCGGGACTGATGCTTGAGGATGGACACTGGCCCGTTGTCACTGCTCCTTTTCTTATTGTAGCGCTTGGGTAAGAGTCTCCTGCTTTTTAAAATCCTGGTGAACCGCTGGAGTTTGGGTCCATACTTTTTTCCTTCCTTGCCATCATCCTCTTCGATGATGATCTCGTTTTCACTGAACCGGACGTGGTTCACGGGTGGAGTCTCGGGAAGGAGGCTCTCTTCTTCGTCCTCACTCAGCTCCAGATAAAACAGCTCTCCATTGCTCTGCACGCTGTCCAGCCACTCAGGCTCAAGGTCACTGCCAAAGAGAGGAAAGGTCATCTGCACAGCAGCCAACATAAGAGAAATAGTTACGTCTCCCTGGCTGGGGGTGGGTGAGGTGTTGGAAGAAGGTGGGGGGCGAGGGAGTGAAAGTTCTCTGATTGTTTCAAACTCTTCTTCCCAGTTCCAACTGATTATGAACATCCTGCAAGGGGCTTTTTTGTAGAGCCCTGAAGAATGAAGTTGGGGGAGAGGGAATCAAAACACACAGGGAGGCTGAGGTGAGTAGATTGCCTGAGCCCGCGGGTTCGAGACCTGCCTGGGCAACTTGGAGAGACCTCATCTCTACAGTGAATCAAAAAATTAGCCGGGCGTGGTAGCCCATGCCTGTAGTTCCAGCTACTTGGAAGGCTGAGGCGGAAGGATCGCTGGAGCCCAGCAGGTCGAGGCTGCGGTGGCCAGGAGCGGCCACTGCACTCCAGTCTGGGTGACAGAGTGAGGCTCCAGCTCAAACAAATAAACAAACAAAAAAAACGCACAGTGAAAGGAAATGAATTAAAAAAGAGAGGGTCCCCTTCTGGGATCTGAGGTTTTGTCTCTAATTAACTCTACCACTATGTGGTTATTGTTCACATTAGACAATTTCACTGGATATTAATTTCTATTAGCAGTTGATTATCCCATCATATCCACAGAAGCAGGACATTTGGAAATTGTACATGAAAACATACTATTTGCATAAAAGTTATTCAGCATGGCTGTCAGGTTAGAATGAAACTAAACCCAACCAGCATTGACAGGTTTTGTTTACGTAATAAATCCTCAAAAAAAGAAACATTCACCTCATCATGAACTAAAACTTTGCTGAATACAACCATTTATAATTGTATCCAACATGGTAAAGATCATGCCTGCAGTCTCTAATTTCCATACAACTTATTTTTATGAATAATTATAGTGGGAAAAGTAAAGTACGTATTACATAATTCATCATGTGATTGCAAAAAAATGCTAACTGGGAAGTAGGCCCTGAAAAAAGCAAAACTTATTGCTATTAAAGAAATTAAATGCACCAAGGGGCAAAAATATTCATCTTAGGGCAACTGGTCTAATCACAACCTCTATCCTGTTTAATGTTATGGACAGCTCATCCTTTGGACTGCTATTCTTTAAGGCGAAACAGGTTACAGTGGAAAAACTAACATGTGGGAGTTTTTTTCAGAATCTTGAGCTGCAGTCAGTATCCTGGCCTGAAAGGCTGTAATTTGTGCTTTAATTGTTCAATCAGATAGAAGACATTTCTGTCTTTTGCACCGTTTATTAGCAACTCCAGTTTTTTTAAACTTAAAAGTCAAATGTTTCCTTCAAAATACTTTGAAAATTAGTCCCCTAATGTACCATTTTAATACCCAACTCTGAAACTAACCACTGCCCTAGTCTGTGGCTAGTCATTAACACAGAATTTTAAACAACATGCTTAAAACACCAGAACTAACGTTTCTTTGGTCCTCACTGGTTCCATGCGTGGTATGGCATCATTTTAAGGCACTAAGCATCACTTACCACAGATTATTAGCCCACATCAGTTGTTTCAACCACACCTCTCTGTGCTCAGAATCAATCTTTAAATAACTCTGCAGTTCTACTCGCAAGTGTCTAAATAACTGTCTCCACCATAAACACTGAGATAATAAAAGTACCTCCATTTTAATGATAACGATGTAAATGCCATGATTATACGTTAATTATTTATCGAGATATGTGTCAACTTAAACAATGAATAAATTTTACTTGCTTTATCATCTCATCCTTTTACTCCGGTATACCATCCGTATTAAAGATGTGTGACTCCAAAGAAAACTTTTTTTCCACTTGCTACACATGAAGACAGTTCATCTCAATCCCAAAATATGAATGTGAAACCATGTTTGGTGAGGATTGGAAGAGCCGTGCAGGTGGGGGCGGGGGTGGCATACAAGTGTGGAGCGAAGAAACTGGGCCAAGCACCGCGGCAAGTGCCAAATTACAACGACGAAAAGGTCTGTTCCTGCCCCTGCTCAGCAGGGAAGAGAACCTGAGGGGGAACTCATGACAACACACCGGGGAGGCCCCAGACTGAGGCACAGAGAGGGTTGCCCGGCCTAGCCTCGCTGGGGATGGGGGGAAGGACGGAGACTTCTCGGGGAGGCTCCAGAACTGAGTTGTAAAAGGACAAGTCGTGGGGACAGAGGTCGGGAGCATCAGGTACCCTGGGGTGTATGTGTCAGATATTCTTGGGCGTATGCATCAGACACCCTGGGGTGTGCATGTCAGGTACCCTTGGATGTATGCATCAGACGTCGACTATACAAGTAAACAGAAGGTGAGTTTGAGGTGGACGAGACTAAGGCAGAAAAGCTGGGTCTGGGGCTGTTTCAGCAGGCAAGGCAAAGATGACAACTAAGTCAAGAGGAGAAGGACAGAAAGTAGGAGAAGTAGGCAAAATATGCTTGGAAACCACCAGGACTTCGCACGTGATCAGCTGAGAAGAGAGATGGCTGGACTAAAGTTGACTGGGTTTCTAGTTGGGGACCGTACCGCCATGCACCTTTCATGCATGCACAGGCACATACACAGACTCATTTCGGCATGGATGGGCGCATAACTACACTGGGTATTTTCTCTTCCTATGTCTTTCTCTGACATGAAATCACACGAAAACCTACTGAGGGCTATTCCACCAGTTTTGACAAAGTGGAATCATTCTGTACATAAAGGTTTATACTTAGTTGTGTAATTTCTCACCTTACAATACAGTTTAGAAATTTCTAATGCCGTACATTCGTCATTTGCCTACTGATAAATGTGTGTCAGTTTCTGTTTTTCCCCTACAAAGTTATAGGAACTTTCTTATTTGTATGTTTATATACAATATAGGTCTTTACCCAAAAGACTACACCAATTCATATTTTCACTAGTAGTACATCAAATTCATGTTCTTAAAATGATAAAGAATTTTTCTGAAAGAATTAGAAACTAAAAGGAAAACAGAGAGAAAGAGACAGGGAAATGTACGTCAGAGACCCTGCACAGCACACCAACCCATTTGCTGAAAAGAAGACGAACCAAGAAATCACAAAGAGCTGGGTTTAAATTCTGCTCTTTTACAACTTTAACCTCTCTAAGATCAATCAGTTAGTTTTAAGCTTTAGTTTTCCTCTTCTTGAAGACAGATCACAGCTTCCTCCCAGTACTATTATCAATGGCAAATGAAACGATGCTGTGCCTGGCACGGTCAGTGCCAAGTACAAGTCGGTTCCCTCCCTCTCATTTTTATCAGGTTCAGCACTCTGTTTCTGCATTTTCTAACTGGCATTAAGTGAAGACGCCATTGGTGGCCTCAGTATGCCAGGTTCCAGGTTAGGTGCTGGTTCACAAGAGGCAAAACCAAGCATTGCCTTTAAGGCCCTACAGTTCAGAATTCCTGGAAGGGTCCTTATTCCTACTTCAGATCAATTCCTAGCAACCATAAGCATCAAAAGATTGGTTAATGGGTACAAAGTTTCCATTAGCAGAAATAAATTCCTGTGCTCTTCTGCACAGCAAGAAGAACTGTAGTTAGTGCTGTATTGCCTATTTCAAAATTACTGGAAGACAGGATTTTGAATGTTCTCATTACAAAGAAATGACAAATGTATGAGGTGATGGCTGTGATAAATATCCTTATTTGATCACTACACAATGTATACAGATATTAAAACATCAATCGGTACCCCATAAACATGTACCATTATTATGTGTCAATTAAAAAAGAGTATAACTGATTAGTGAGTTAAGGAAGTTTAAATAAAAACATCAACAAAAGGAAAAAACCACAAAAGCCTAACCTTTTGTTGCAACTATTTATGAGTAACAAAATTAAAGCCATTAATATATGCAGATAATCCCCGCTCCAGGAGATGGAGTGTAATCCCTCCTCCCCTTGAGTGTGGACTTGGTGACCACACTCTTCCACAGAACAGAATGTGGAGAGAGAAGAACAGTCACTTTCCAGGGAGGAGACCTGGCAGACACCACCTCACTGAACTGGGTGATCAAGGTCATGGAAAATAGGGAAGGATGGAGAAACTGTCACAGACCAGAGGAGACTAAGCAGACATGCCAGCTAGATGCAACTTGATACCCTGGACTGCATCCTGGGACACAGAAAGGACATTAATGCAAGCGTGGTGAAATCCAAACGAGGTCTAGAGTTTGGTTAATAAAACTGACCAAACTTCATTTTGACACGTGTACAGCAGTTGTGTGAGATGCTAATATCAGGGCACGGATGGGTGAAGGGTTTATGGGAACCCTGTACTATCTTTGCAACTCTTACATAAATCTAATTAAATCTAGCAGTTTAAATTCAGGCTTCTGTAATATATGGCTCATGTTTCAGCACTAATATAAAAGCTCTTTCTACATTTTCTAAGACCCTACAGTGCAAGCTGCAAAGCTCTCATTGTGTAAATGTCTTTCAATTTTCTGTCAATGGGTCATATTGTGTTTCTTCTGCTTTGCTCTAAACAGAGGAACTGCAGTTTATAATAACCTGCCTGCAAAGTGCAAGGGCACTTTAACTGGCTTCCACGTCCTAAGTGATGTGTTACACATGAGCAGAGCCCTTCTTCCCATAGAAAGTCTTGCTCATTCATAAATAAGCAAGTTTACGCACTTACATAAGCTGTAGCATAAGTAGATTAAAGAAAATGAACGTCAGATAATGCTAATATGTTTATTGATATACTCAAGACTATCTAGGCCAACACCAAAGAATTACACCTGTAATCCCAGCACTTTGGGAGGCTGAGGTGAGAGGATTCTTGGAGCCCAGAGGATTCTTGGAGACAAGCCTGGGCAATACAGTGAGACTCTGTCTCCACCAAAAAAATACATAAATAAAGCACCTTCCAGGTGTGGTGATGTGTGCCTGTAGTTCCAGTTACTCAGAAGGCTGAGGCAGAAGGACCACCTGAGCCCAGAAGGTTGAGGCAGCAGTGAGTCGTAATCATGCCA